TGGATCTGAAAATAATTAAAAATGCGCTATAGGAACAAAAAATTATAATATATTTTAGCCCCATTTTTAGAGAAAACGTGTTTTGAAATAGTGATTTTTTGGAAACTATGTGGTTAAAAAATAGAAAAAAATTTGGATTTATTTGTAAAATTATTTTACGAGAGAACGTGTAATTAAAAATGAGTTTTGAGAAAAAAATAGGGCTCAAACAGGGGTTAATGTTGTTTGGGTACCCCAATTTTTATCCATAAATCTATCTTGCAACTCAAAATCCAATTTTTTAAAGAAAAACCTAATCACAAGGTGTTTTTAATTTTTAGATTTTTCCCGGACCAATTATTTCAATAATTTTCTTGCACATTGATTGAATAAACTGCCTATTGAGAAAGTTGTGAGGATGAAGACACACAATATTTGAAATTAATATTTTAATCTAAATTTAGGATTTGCTGTCAATTCAATTAAACGTTTAATTAAAGCTATGAATTTAAATTTTAAATATTAAAGTAACCGGTGTATGCCATTTAAAAAGGACTGATGATGGGTATATTTCAGGATTTAAATTAAAAAAATAAATAAAAAATGGTACGGGCCCAATAGAAGCCCAGTTGTGGTGAATTGGCCCAATTGAAAGCCATATTCTTGACATAATCCATAAGTGCATATCCAACAGCAACAAGGCCCGTTATTAGTCAATAGAACGGGTCTCTGCGTTTTTGTCCTTCGTATTGTTGCGCAAACATCTTTACCAAAAAGGGATCTTGGCACCATTTGTATGTGTTGCAGTGATTTCTACCAGGATAAGTCGTCGCCATCACCCCAAAATTGGAAGGTAATATCCGATTAATTGGGTAAAAACATGCTGTAAATCTATTGACTCGATTTGATTGCTGTGAATGATTTAATTTCAACACGACCTAGATCTAATCCTGCCGAGTTCCCAATATCGGTTGTAGGAAAAAGGGGCCGATCCACTCGTAAGATTCCGTCCAGCCTTATTGCCATTCTATTCTTCTAGGTCCGTGGAATTTATTTATGTTTTTTTTTTCCAAATTTGTTGTATCTTGATGGTAATCTTCCTTACGTGATTTTCTCAATAATATTGAATTTTCGATGGGGCTGTTTATGTTTTCTCCTTGCCTCAAGTGTAATCCGTGAAATACCCAGGACCAATATCCCACTAGTCCCCGGTGGCTCTGCCCCTACACGTCCAAAGAATAATATAGTAATATATTCTAGAGGTCACTCCCTGGGTGGGTGAGTGAGTTGAGGTTTCGAGAGGGGGAATCTCGTGTGGGTTTATAAAAGATGAATTTTGCATTTTGGAATTTGGTTTTCTGGGATAGTGAATAGTCTATCCACTGCCATTGTGGAAATAATTACTCAAGTGTGTCTGGAATTTACCTGCCACCGTGTTAAGCACAGAAGAACTCCGATGTCAAGGTGGAGCTCTGATGGAGAGTGTTGCTTGAGGAAAAATTGAAGTAATAGGAGTGTTCTGGAGGCAGTGGTGTTGATGTTCAAGATCCTGTATTTACTTAATTCCCTTAAAGGGACATGGGTGTCTGGAAGACAAATTCATGGGTTGAGGCTCGTTCTGGAAGGGCATATGATCTGAATTGAATGTTAAAAGAGTGTTGAGCTCTCCTATGTGGTGGTGTGACTAAGTACTGTTCGTAGTTCA